ATCCCCCATTAACTTGGCTCTTTTGGAATTCTTGGCCATGACAGACATTCGCTTACGTACTCTCCTGTCGTATTCGCCTTGCTCAGCAGCAGAAAGAGCCTTCTTACCCGATCTTAAAGAACGAGGCATAGGAATAGGCTCTTCTGCAGGAATCTCCTCAGTTGCCTTTTCTTCGAGAGAATCAACAACAGATCTTCCCTCTTCAATCCCCGTAGGAACCTCTTCCTCAGAAGGTTCTACGTCGGACAAGTCCTTAAGAGCTTCAATGGCTCCAGCCGCTTCCTGTTCACAAGATAGGTACTCTTCCATCCCTGGCAGACGAGTACTCGTAGAACTGCTCCGCGAACGATACAATTCCCGGATCTCGTTTATACATGAAGTATAAATGTCATATTCTGGGATCTGGGAAGCTTCATCAAACCACCGGCGGAAATCCGTAACAGTGGAGCAGCCCGGTGGTGAATTGGGTAAAGTGAATCGCGCATGGGTTCCCCCAGCGGAAAAGAAATACCATGCGCGAGGTCCTTCGTACAAATTCCCAATCTGAGCTAACGCCGGGTTAGGATTGCCAACATAGAGTTGGTCGTATCCAAACTGTCTGGCGAACCGAGAAGGCATGTAAGGCTCAATTATGCACTTCTCCCGCAACCGGTAGAAAGGCATGTAAGGCTCAATTATGCACTTCTCCCGCAACCGGTAGACCAGGTAGTCCAACCTGATCATAAAAAGCCAGCTAAATGCGCCCTCTTCCAAAGAAGGTGAGCCATCGGCCAGCAAGTCCATGAAGCGGGTGTCCTCCACGTCAGCTCCGTCGAAATTAGGAACGCAGTAGAAAACCCGGTAATTATCTTCCCGGGATAGAAGCTGTCGAGCCCTGACTATATAAGAACTAGTCCACGTGGCCGACTCCAATCTCTGTACGAAAGGAGTATAAGCATCATCGCCCTCATATACTCCTGTCATCAATGAAGGGCAATGTAACACGAACCAAGCCACTAGATACGTATACGGCACTGGTACACGTGGTTGAGGAGCCTTCCCAGCTTTCTTCTTAGCAGCTTTGATCTGCGAAGCACTAAGAAGTTATGAAGTCAACACCCTCAAGCCGTTCTGAATACAGCCAACCATAGCGGTAAGGAGGCTCACAGGTCTCCCATGCGCTAGCAAAACAGCTGGGTACACTACCTCAGCTAATATCGCCTCTATCGGTCTTGACGGTACTACGCACCGCTTCAACCAAATCATGAAGAAGCCTGCAAGTAGAGCCGTGTCAGAGATAGGAACTGTGGCTTGGTAGTGGAAACTTTCGAATTCGATACCAACTTCAAAATCATCCTCGGCATGCTCTATCTTATAGGTAGCATCAGGAGCTTTAATCCGAGCTTTGGCATCCTTAAGAGAGAGAACTGCAACACGGGATACAGCTACGTCTTTTCGGTTTAAATTCTGAAAGAGGTAATCTGCCCACGTGGTATGCATAATGCCCCCTCCACGCATCCTAAAGACTTGGGCACATATGTGGAAGTGGCACATCAGCTCCCAGAAAGTAGCATAAATTTCCGGGTGCGCCACCTTCAGTAGAGAAAGCTCCTCGGTGGTGGGGATGAACTCCTCGTAGGGCATTTTTCCAAGCGACAGCCCCGACACTGCCTGCATCTCATGAAGAGCAAAACCTAACTCTCCAGCAGGCGTAAAGAATGTGCAGCTGTCAGGGTTATATTTCTCCAACATAGCGAAGAAATTATGAAGACTCTGCACGACTCCCTGTCGTGTAGCTAACACCGGAATTGTGAGACCCGATTGAGTGAGCGAGTCCTTAAGCTCTTCAAGAACAAAGTCAACCATACGGGTCCACCAACCTCCTGCTCCGGAACAGATCCATCCAGGGGATCTGAACGTCTGGGTAGAGAATTCACCCTGAGTTGCAAGGAATTGGCGAATAAAGATGTTCGCTGGACGTGGCATCTCCTGAACCAGCTCCTTCTTCTCAAACAAACCAGGTCTTAACCCCTTGAGTTGTCCCCCGATTTGTGTACGAGCTCGCCGACCAAATCCAAGCGACAGGTTCTCCTCCTCCTTCACTATGTCAAAGGTCAAACCCCGACGGCAGCTCGCATTCAGAAAGTAGGAGAGAGGGTACATCCTCTTCATGTTGGGGAGGAATAAGAAGTGGGTATCAACTCTCCGCAGCAGCTTTGAGTCTTCCATACATGTGAGATGATCATTGGCTGGTATGCGATCTCCAAATATGAACGCTGGTTTAGGAAACTGGGCATGACCAGCAAGGGTCTCCATGTCTAAATCAGTTATCAAAATCCTGAGAGTAGAGCATTGAGGGAACTTAATCATTTCCGCTCTTTCCGAATCAGGAAAAGTACACAATGGAATTTGGTTCTGAAGACTGAATATTTCATTCGCGTCAGGTCCCCCGATGTATCCAAAATGATGCTCTTGTGAAAGAGGCACATTCGGGAAAAGCACTGCACAATCAAAAGCAGAAGTTAGCGGCTAGAAGCGAGCTATCAACATAAAGACATAGCCTGAAACATAAAGGGTTAAAGGCTCATGTCGAAATCTTCAACGCGAAGGTCGAGCCTCACGTCCGAAATCTCCAACGCGAAGGTCGAACCTCGCGTCCGAAATCTCCAACGCGAAGGTCGAGCCTCGCGTCAGAAATCTCCAACGCGAAGGTCGAGCCTCGCATCAGAAGTCTCAAACACGAGAGTCAACCTCGCGTGGGAAAACTTGAACGCGAGGGTCGAGACCCACATGGGTATCTCAACCCCGCGTTTTCATTGAACTAAAACGAGTCATCTTCATCGTTATCAAGAACCCATCTGGGGTTTTCTAAGAACTTGCCAAGGCAAGTTATTTTGGTCTGCACTCACCACGACAGGGAAGCCCTCGCAGCGACGGTGACGACGACGATGTCCCCGCATGGACAAGAGCACCGTCGGCGTCCTCAGCCGATGGCACTTCGGAAGTCGCTCCGGCGACTTTCTTGGAGTTTGAACCCCTTCTCCGAGGCGCCATTGATGCAGTCAATCGGAAGAAATGCTCTCGAACAAGAAAGACGAAGTTCGTCGGAGACTTCACCGAAATCAAACGAGAATTCTCGTTCTTGGAAATAGTCGAAAATCTTGAAAGTCAAGTGACTTTTGATATGACCACTCAGGTCTATTTATAACAGCCGCCAGGCTGTTAAGCTGGCACGGGATTCTAGGAATGAATCCCAACCAGCTTTCAAAACGCGAAGCTCACAATCGCGTTCAAATTTCCCAAGTGCAAAGCTCTAGCCAACGTCATGAAGGCCCGAGCCTCGCGTTTCAAATATCAAACGCGAAGGTCACCTCAGCGTTGTAATTCTTCTAAATGAAGAACATGCACTTGTAAGCCCACTTAACAGAGTGCTAGTCAAAACCTCTGTATCTCTTCAGCAGAATTCAAATTCTCAATGGGTTAATATTACACCCCAAACAGTCATCATCCCTACAGAGTCTAAGTTTAGCTGGCATTAATACCAAGGCGGCTATAGCTCCTCTGTCAAAATCCACTTATCAACTCTCGGTAATCGAGTGATAAGTTTCCAAATCATCGTCAATTTATTAGCCTTACTCAGCAGAACAATAAATAATTTGTTTTCAGTGAGGTAATAAAATTCCTCAAAATCTTGTTCAAATCACAAGTCTTATAACTCATCACTCCGATGATAAAACACATAGCAGTTCTCCCCAGTGAGACGCTATAATAATCTTTCCCCACAAATGTCACGTTAAAATCACACCTCTGACAAAAATCAACTTATCGATTCTCGTCAATAGAACGATAAGTCCTCAAAATTACCCTGATCGCAATATTTCAATGTCACGTTAAAATCACACCTCTGACAAAAATCAACTTATCGATTCTCGTCAATAGAACGATAAGTCCTCAAAATTGCTCTGATCGCAATATTTCAGTTGTCACGTTAAAATTACACCTCTGACAAAAAAATCAACTTATCGATTCTCGTCAATAGAACGATAAGTCCTCAAAATTGCCCTGATCGCAATATTTCAGTTGTCACGTTAAAATTACACCTCTGACAAAAATCAACTTATCACTTCTCGTCAATAGAACGATAAGTCTTCAAAATTGCTCCGATCGCAATATAGACTTCTTTCAGTGTTTAAAGCAAAACATAACACAGGAAGAATTCTATTAGTCAACCCTATTATGGGAGTATTCGTCCTCAGCAGTTTGAAACCTTCTAGAGTTGTCTTAAATGATAATAAAGAGAGTTCTCTGCAACAGAACCATTGTCGAGGTATATTCTAAGTCAGGAATACATCTCAGGCATTTCTCGTGACTTGTATTTAAAATCAAAACATGATAAATGCAAGAAACAATGAGAAGTCAATATCACTTTTTATTCAAGAACCAAAAGAAAGTGATACAAAACAAACTTTGTTCTTGTCAAAAGAACATTACAGAAGCCAAACTCACTCATGCATCAAATCAAAAGAGATGAGTTGAGCCTTGAGTTCAGCTAGCTCCGCCTCGTGGTTAGCTCGCACCATAGCTTCAGCCTTTGCTCGGAGTTCATCCTCGCTGGGTATGATGATGGCCGCCATTTCCTTTCTGACGTCTTCCAGAGCCTGAGCTTGTGCATGATACTCCAAAGTACTAGCTGCATTCTGGGTACTAAGGATGTTGACAATGCCTTCTTCGCGGGAGAGTTCAGCTTTCAATCGCAGGACTTCGGCTTCAGCTTCAACCAGTCTGTCCCGAAGCGAATTCATAGAAGCAGTTGAGCGTTCTAGTTCTTCTCGCTTCCGAGTGTTACGCTCACGAAGCTCTGCGATCTGACGCTCTTTTTCAGCTAAGTCCCGTTCTAGCGTCTCTCGGTGTATTACTTCAGCGACCTGAAGACTAGCCAAAGTGGACATAATTTGCGGCTGAAGGTCACTATGGCCCATGGTCTCGAAGCGTTGTAATTTCTCCTCCAAACGAAGGATAATCTATGAGCAGTGTTCGAACCATTGAGTTTCGCCCACGCTCCTGACCCCGTTTAAGCCTGCTTCCAGCAGAGGTCGAAAGGAGTTCAAAGTTCCTTGGCCATTCATCAGGGACTCAACTACCGTCTTCGCAAGACTGTTTAGATACACCAAGGAGATTTGAAGGAATTTAGGTGCATTAGCGAGACTGACAATTGCACCCGAAGATACCTCTTCAGCAGCTGAGATTGATGCGTTAAGATGATGACTAGCAGGCGATCCAGGTGCCGAAGCTGCAGAGGCAATTGAAATGTTTAATTGCGAAGGACTTGTGGTCAAAGCCATCCATGCTTTCACCTGAGAAGAGCTTGGCCCAGCCTCCGTTGGGGTGAGCGAGATCTTCATCACCGCTTTTGATGAAGTAGCTACTACAGAAGAGTCAGGCAGGGGTTGCTCTTGCATAGGAGCTGATACCTGCACGAGCTGTTGTTCCGGAGGAGGAGTAGCGGCAGTAGTTTCAGGCAACGCTACAGGCGGAACAGTCACCGTAGGAGAGCCAGATAAATGTGGCTCTTGTGGAAGAGCCAACACTTGCGCAGGTTCTTGCTCTAAAGGAGCAGCTGAAGTAGTCCCGGGAGTAGGTGAACCTGCACGAAAAAATGGTCGGAACGCAGAGAACACAAGCGGAAGAAGTCGAAAGAAACTAGACTTACCGGAGATGTGAAAAGGAGTATAACCAGATACTTTATCAGATGGGACCTTGGGGGCATCATCATCAAAAGTGGTGACGTCATCTATGGAATCATGCTCATCATCATCTTCACCACCACCTGACATGTTGCCAGCGTCGGCGTCCTCATCGCCTCTATCTTCGTCAGCTGCATCATCAGTTGGGGAGTCGTCATAATCAACTCGCTCCTCATCATCCTGAGCAGCTGAGGGCTCAAGACTTGCACCATCAGTTGGTCTTCTCATAGGTCCCGTCGTAGGACTAGGAACCATATCACCAGCTTGTGACACTAAGGCTGAAGGAGAAGGGGATGGATTCTCTTCAAGACCCCCGGGTTCTAAGACAGGAGACCTGGGAAGGTCCATCACTGGTGCAGATTCTGCATCTGCATCCAACAATTCGTCCTCTTGGTCCTCAGGAGGATGGTAAGAAGAGGCTTCGTCCGATAAAGCTGGGCCGTGAGAACGAAGTCCGGCTCTATGTGGCAGGCCCGCCATGGACGATTCCTGTTGTTCTTCATCTACAGCAGCTCTGATGGCCTCGGCCATCAACTTGGATTTTTGTTGGCCCTTGGGGGGAGAATCCACCAGAAGTTTCCGACGAATCTGCTTATCATATTTGCCAGCTTCATCTGCATAAAGTTTTCTTTTCCCCGCCGCTCTCGTTGTGGGAGGATCAACCACTCGTTGTTCTTCCCCTGGAGCAGGCTCAGCTGGCTGCTCCTCTTCCTGTT